TTCCCTGCATCAAAGCGGGCAAGGCTGGAAAGACCCACAGTCCACAGTGCTACCTTACTGCAGAACTACTCCACCTGAAATATTTATTTAAAATACTTGTCAGGGCTGGTGTTAAACATCTTTAACAGTAAAGATTCCACAGTTTATTCCAGCGTTTAGTTATATGTATAAAAGGGAAAATGTCTCCTTTTTTCAGATACCAAATTCAGTTAGCTGTAGATTGGTGTGCATTCAGAAACATACAGAAAGTGTTTCGAGCTAACACAAGCAACTGGGAGAGTCATGAACTGTCAGTTATACATATGCAACATCCCAAATTGTATGCAAGATGCAAAATGCCATTCTTCAGACTGTTCAAGTAATCTGCAAAGATTCAGATACAGCAGAATGTAAAAGCATGGTGACTTTCTTTTTTTCAATTGCCAGAGATCACAGCACACAAGTTATGAGTGAGGGGGGCACTGGTAAAGTAAGTAATCCAATATTTCTTTCCAGTTTGCATAATCAAAAGTGCATGTTTTGGTCTGAATTATACTGGTTATATAGAATATTATATAACAGACAGAAAATACTAATAATGATCTAATTAAAATTTTATGCATCCTAACAATAGACGTTAGAATCTGAGAAACTGAGAATTACTTTTTCTGTCTTGCCACTGAGTGTCACTCTGATGCCACCTCTCTGCAGCAGAGCCGAGACTGTTTTAAAAGAACCTTTGTGGAAAATTAGATTGGTTCTGATGAATTTAGCTAGCTGTACAGCCATTGTGCATTGCACCAGGACACGTTTATTAGGTGGGCAGATCCAATGGGAAAAGGGCAGGGACTTACGGAGTCACATCTCCTCTAATTGGCTACCTTTGTTAAGAGATACCGGTGGCTAAACGTGCATTCCTGGTAATCAATACTGGAACCAGATATTGCTTAGCTGGGCTCAGAGGATATTTTTAACCATTTACGATGCCACTCCTTGCTGCTTGCCACTAAACTGAAACAGCAAAGTATCCACCTGGTTCATGCATCTCATATGAGTGAAAACTGTAGCTATCTTTTAAAAAGTAAATTTATTCTCGCCTGTAATCTCAAACTGATAATGGGAAAGGGGCTGAGGTGCACGTATTCTTTTTTTTTTTACTCTTCAGATACACCTTATTTTTTAAAAAAAAAAAAGAAGCCTGGCCCCTGTGAGTAAGTAACTGCATTCAAACTTCTTGGTCATTATGGCCCTAATTAGAGTAGCATGGAAAGGGAATAATATTAGTTAACCTCTTAATGTACACTCTCTATTGGCACATGCATCTTCAGCACGTAAGTACAGTTGCGTGTGAAGGAGCTGTCTGTGGAACATGTTAGTGATGAATACATAGCAAGATTCTTTGTCGCATTAGTGACACTAAAACTGCATTGCACAAAAAAGACTGTTGGTACTTGGGTGAGTAACGGAACTGATGTAACAGTTTGATTGTTTCTGAAAGGATCCAAGATCTCTTAAAAGAAGGAGCTTTCTTCTATGCTATTAAATCTTTTTGATCAAATGTAAACAAATGAGAAGAATCCCTTTTTGGAATTGATTATCACTTATTGTCAAGATATACTGGAACTGATGAGGACTGCTTTTAGAGACATTTCTTTGTTGCACGGATACATTTAACTCAAGAGTGTTTCTGCTCACACACTTAGTAGTTACAGCTTATTGTTTTAGGCTGGGGACAACTTCGGCACAATTGAGGGCCCTCAATTTACAGTGCCTGTCTTCTTGCCTCTGCTCGTGCCAGTAATGTCACCTGCAGCAGAGTCAGCACAACTGCAAAATATTGTGATAAAAAAAAAGAATGTAAGTGGATTTAGTGGCACGATCCGTTGTTGCTGCCTGAAGTGCACTAGAGATCTTCCTTATCTGTTGCCTGCAACCATAGCAACTGAATCCACTATGTCCTGGTTATCCAGAATTGTGAACGTTGCATTTGCAAGGCTTTGGAAAATACTCAGGACACCCAGAAATGGCACTGACCGTTCACAGTGCAGTGTGAGCATGCAGTCATAAATTATGTATGCCTTATGGAAGATTAATATTAGCAGTGGTAGTGGTTAATAACTCGTAGTCTGAGATAAAAATCTGATTTCCCGAATTCCAGACTGACATCTGATTTCTCAAACGTACCTTATTGCTTCCACCTGCGTAAGTACAGTGCTGTGATTTTCCAGAAACTTGTGTGTATAAGACTCAAATATTCATTTGGAATTAACACCAACTAAATTCTGCAAAGGCTGCAAAGATGCATTAGAGAAAAAAAGATGTAGAAGTTGTCTGGGTATTCTGCATACAACACGGAGTGGTGGGTCACTCTGCCAGTCTCTTTGCTTAAAGTGTCAAACTGAAGGCCATCACAGGTCTTGCAGGAGACTCTGGGCTCAAATGATGTTGCTGAGTAGTGCATCAAAGTCAGCTTCCCAAATGGCAACAAAACTATGGGAATGTCTAAGCAACTGAGGTGGAAGCAAAATTTCAGGGGGATTAAGCTGTGGAAGTGGATGATCTCTCTCCCAGAACTCTGAAGGAACTACCTTGTGAAAGTATAGACAAAAGGAAGTAGTTTGAACACATCAATCAAGTTTGGACCTGGTTTTGTGTGACTGGAGAATATCTTATTTACTTTTCAAGAAAGAGCAGAGGTAGGAGAGGACCTGGGAAACTAGGAGCATCTTTCCCTTCTGGAGCGGTACCGATGAAAAGACAAGTCTAGTCAAAAATTTCAATCTTTGACCTGAGGAATGAAGACATTCTAGTCCTATGAGTCAGTTTCAAGAGTAGGAAAAAAACTATCCCTTGCACTCATGCTGCCCATGTGCCTCCTCTTTTCTTTACAAGCCTGGTCCCTCCACCAAAGTCAGTGGCTATCTCCACTGAGCTCAAAAGATTATGAGTTAGATCTAATTAAGAACACAGGAGCTGTCATAAGGTCTCGGAAGACACCTGGAGTTCAGTCACCCTTCCTACTTTTCCTCTTAATTTTGTGCAGTCACAGAAAGAAGAGATGGACTGAATCTTTGTTGTTAACTTTTCTCCTGCATGACAAATTCTTGTCTAGATTATGACCTGAGTTATGGCTACATGAGCTAACAGAGCATCACGATATTTTCGATTATGTCTGGACATCTATGGCCATTCTGGAAACTGCAAACAACTTCAATCATGCATTAGGCCAGGCAAAAACTGAAGGACAAATCAAAGGAAAAAAGGTCGCTAAAGTACACAGAGGGACTAACTGCTCCACTGTAGATCTACTGTCTTACTGTCTACTGTGGCATGGGCACATCCAGTAGGACAATCTCCCATTGAAATAGAACAGCATGGAAAAGACAGACAAGTCTCACTAATGAGGAGGCGTACGGAGACTTGCTGCAAAGAGGGGTCCAGTCTCCCTCTGGCTTTTGTCTTCTTTTCTTTGCCATTTTGATCTACCTGATGGAAATCAAACAAATATTCAAGCGAGGTGAAATTCATTGTGGGAAGAGTGGCTCAGAGAGACTCTAACAACAGGACAGAAAGCACAAAAGTGAACTGGAAATGTGGAAAATACATTGCACTTCTTGCATTCCATACATGCCAGGAAGATGAGACCTGTGCTGTATTCAAACATGCTGATGCAAAGGGTGGTTTTAAAATCAGCCTACTGAAGTAGTTCCAGGAACATTATTTTTTGATTAATCTTGACCCCTATTAATACATAGGCCTCCAAGTTACCAACCTAAGTCACTGGCAATTGGTTTGCTTTCCTTAGTCACCCTTCTAAGACTACTTAGACCCTCAGGCTGTAGCGTGTTTCTGAACCAGACTCAAACTGTTGTGGTATCTGGCAATACTTGTGTGTAGTCCTATCCAATTTCAACTGAAGTGCCCTTCACAGAGTCCATTCATTTCTGTTCTGTATAGGGTGGTGTTTGTGAGAGCTGCTTGGAATAAAATAGCATGTTACATGCCCGCAAAAGTTCATCTATCCTAAAGCAGCAGGTGCTTCCCAGCTTTGCTATTTGCAAACAACTCTTCAGATTAACTTCAAGCAGATGTTAACAACAGTGTATCTTTACACAAAGAGTGGTAAGAGCCATTTGGACTAGCAAAGGCGGTTATTTGCAAGCCGCCTTTCTCCCTCTTTCATTTCAGCTGTTTGCCTTGGTAACAGCTGCTGTTCTCAGTGCTGTGGTGCCTACAGACATCGCGTCAAGTTATGCTGGCAGCCGACTGTTCCCACTAATGTGTTGGTGTGGCCATTTTTCCATCATTTGCAAATAACCTCCTCGTAAGAATTATCAGGGGAGTAGATAGCTTCAGTCTTATTTCGTGAAAATGTAACACAAAAATAAGCCATTAACTTTTAACCTGCTAGTTTTATACCATAGTGAACTTGATTTGCTTTACACCTTGTTCCTGGAGCTTTCTGAAATGAGGGGAAAATGTAATTCTCTAAGGTCCTGTCAAGAACAGGAGATGTGGGCCCTGTGGCCAGGTAGTAACAGCTCTGCAGGGGATGGAACATTCCAGAAATCTTCTCCCAGGGGAAAAAATTGTCTTCAACCTCTGACTAAACCATGCCCTGAATGGGGTGATAGGGAGCGGTCAGGGTTTGCTCCTTGCTGGAGAGCCCAGAACCATCTGCAGAGAGGCCCAAGGGCCTCCCATTGACTGTGGCTCAGCAGCTTCCTCTAGTGACAGTGTCTGAAGCTGCTCATAGAGCTGGGTCTGATAAAAGCGTGTTGTCACTGGACACAGGTTGCAGTACAGCCTCAAAGTATGTTGTATTTCTACCTTTATCCTGCAGGACTGGAGAAGGGTGAGGTGCTCTTC